AAACGGGGTCTGGGGCGGATGCCCCAGCGGCCCGCCGCAGGCGCCGCCGGAGGCCCCGGCCCGCCGCAGGCGCCGATTTTTTGGCGTTTTTGCTCAAAATTGAGATATTTCTCACATCAAATTCTCATCAAAATCGAGCTCGCTACGAGCTCTCTAACTGCAGGACAGCATCTCCTCGTTGAGCCCAGCGGCGCCCGTATCGCCCGCGCCCACATTCTTCTTCTTGCCCTTGGCCCTTGCTGCACTTAGCCGCTCAACCTCCGCCGGCAGCGGCTCCTTGGCATGCCGCGCATTCTCCATCTGCTTTGCTTCCCACGCTGCCGCTTCCTCTAAAGCAGCGCCGCCACTAAGCGGCGCAACCAAGTTCTCGCACTGTTTGCATGAGCATGTGTCTTGCTTGGCGCGGCGCACAATCCGCGCGCGGCGAGTGAGGTGCGTGAGAGCAGAAGACTCGCAGGTCGGATGGGCGGTGACGCCGTCGAGCGACGGCGCAAAGGCCAATCGCTGCTGCTGCGCAACGAGAGCGGCGACACGAGGCTGCTGGCAGCTGGCAGAGCGAATCGCGATTCCGGCGGCCGCCGTCAGCCCGCCGACACCGACGGCCGAGCTGAGGTCAAACTCCGCCACAGGTCGGACCATCCGTGCGTCAGCCATGGGACGAGACGTCTGTGTGCAGACAGCCCGCCACCCGGGCGATAGAACATGCCAGCTGCTTGCAGGGCTCTCGTGGCCCGTGGTGAATAGGGCGGGCTAAGGTAAGGTAAGGTAGATTTCTCCACACACACAAAGTGGTGGGGCAAGGGGGGGCGACCCTCGCATCTCCACGCCCGGACACGGGCAGGAGCCCCACGGCATTCAAAGTGCAAGCACTGGCCCGGTGCACGTGGGTGAGCAGCCTGCCCCTGCCCCCTCCCTCCCGACAAACCGACTCCCGCACACACACAATCGCACTCTGGCCATCGAATGACTCCGAATGACTCACTGTGTGTGCTAAGACAGAATCTCCGCAGACAGCCAAAACGGGCCGTGCCGCGTTTGTGGTGTCCTCTCAAGCACTAGCATCCGGGCGCCGCACTCGAGTGGGCGGGTCACATCTATGTGGGCCCAGTGTGCGCACTAGGCGCATATGCTAGTGCTATCCTGCCCTATGGGAGGCAGAGGGATGGGGGGAGGGGGGGGCAGAGGTAAGGTGGGGTGAGACTGGAGAGGGCCTCAAAGGTCCTCCATGGGGGTGGGGTCCGGCCCGAACAGGTCGAAGCCGGTCCCGCCATCGCCGCCGGCGCCGTCGCCCTCGTCCGCCTCGGAGGCGGAGGTCGTCGAGCGGGGCGTCTCGCCCGTCGCGAACCTGCCGCCGAACACGGCGTCGGCCGGCGCCGAGGCGCCGGCAGCCGTGATCAGGTCGGCGACCTTTCGGTCCCTGCAGGCCGCATCAATTTTGCCGTGAGCGCCGATCGATCGATCTGAGGGCTGGCCGATGGGTGGCGCTGGGACATCGCCGCCGCCGCGGAGGCCGGCGGCGACCAGAGGAGCTGGGGCGCGTGGCGCATATGTTACCTGCCAAGTGAGCATTCAAGTGACCTTGGAGATTATTCGAGATTCGAAACGTCCGATTTCACTTTTCAGCGGAGAGGTGCCAGACCTGATTTTAGAATCGCTCGGAGGCCCCAGAGGGTTCACGAACTCCACGTAGTTGTTGTTTCTTTCCTTTCCTCCTTTGCGGCTCTAGTGTGGCGAGGGTGAGTTCCGTTTAAAAATTGCTTGTTCGATCTTCGTCCCGAGAGAGATATCCGCAGGGACACTTTTGACTCTAGCCCATGCCTGCGCCCCACTTTGCGACGTGTTGCGCCGCCAGCCGCTCCGCGTAGGCATATAGGGCCAGGTCATGCGCGTTGTCGCGACGGGCTCGCTCGCTGTCCTCGTCGGACATGGCGCAGGGCGCAGGCCGCGTGGTGTCGCGGCACGCGGTGAAATTGGCGATGCCTGTCGCTCGCTGCAGCGTTGCGGGCGTCGAGGCGTCGTTGCTCAACAGGACGAGCTGCAGGCTTGAGAGCACCCGCTTGGCCTCGGCCAAGTGCGCTGAGGTGATGGCCCCGGGCGGCAGGCCGAGCACGCGCTCGCCGAGCAGGACGCGGTGGTAGTAGTTGTCGTAGACTGCCGGCGCGAGGCGGCGCATGTGGCTGTAGTTGGAGCAGAATCCCTGCTTTCGCGGACGCACCAGGCCCCAGCGTGCCTGCGCGGCGCGAAGCGCTGGGCTAGACTGAGGGTCCGGGACTAGAGGTGCGGGACCGGACGGGGAGCTAGCAGCGAGATCTTGCTCTGATGGCTAGGGCGGCGCGCCAGCTCAAAGCTGTGAGACACCATCCGCTCGAGCGGCGGCCGCAACATCGCGAGTGTGAAGAAGCCGGGGCAGGGCACGCCGCCGGGCAGGGTGCTCTCGACGGCGTGGAACTGCGGAGCCCTCGCGAGCCGCTCTGAGCAGTTGCTTCTGCCGCTGCCCATGCGCGCGATTGCGTCGGGGTAGGCAAACCGTGACCTCTCCCACGCGCTCTGAGCATGTGAAACCGGGATCCACCACGGCCCATCGGCGTATTCCCGCTGGCGACGACCGCAGTTGCCGTCGCTGGCCCACGTGGTGCAGCCTGCAGCTTGCGCCAGCCTGCATACAGCGGAGCCCGACGCCTTTGAAAAGTGCAGCAGCATAACCTTCTGCTTGCGGCAAACTGGCGTCGTCCCGGGAAGGTTCGAGGTGCAGCCCTTCCTCGGCCTCTGCGAGATGGACGACTCGTTGAGCACGTGGTTGAGCAAGGTGCGCCAACGCGTGTCCTTTGGCTGGTGTAGCATGTCTTTGCATGCGGCAAACAGCTGTCTGTCTCTGAACGCGGCATGTGAGCACGCGAGACGCGCAAGCAGTCTGCGCTGCTCGCGCCGACTGAGATTGGCGAGGGCTAAATTGATAGCATCACGCACCCGCACAAATTGAGCATTGTCGGGGCGTCGAAGAGCAGGCGCGAGACGTGGCATGCTCGCATCGGTGGGTCGTTGCCGGGCTCCCGTCGTCCGGTCGGCGGTCTCAATGCGGACATCTGCAGCCGTGGAGCCGCTCAGCGTCCAGGATGCGAGGAGAGCGAGCAAACGCAGCGGAGCAGCGTGCATGCGCCTCGGAGAGCAGGCGCTGCGCCTGCGAGAGCAAGGAGAGCAAACGCAGCGCCTCGTGACTACAACTGTATGAGCAACGACTGTGAATGGCTTCTCGAGGTTCTCGAGGTGGATATCCTTTGGCCGCGTTGGGTAGCGAGGATTGGTGTAACCCGAGCCACGGAGGCGTGTTTTCTGGCGGCCGACCGTCAGTGCACGGAGTTGCCACTCTCCGACTGCCCCGGCTAGCTAGTTCCCGAGGTCGTCGGGTGTGACCCCTTCGCCGCCCGAGACCTAGCGCGGGTGGGTTGGAGGGGGCTCGCCCCGTTCCTCCCCATCGGGCCGCGTGAGCGGCCTCGCCTCGCAGATTCGAATGGCTTAGCGGAGGGCTACTGCGAGCGGGCTGCCGGTGGCCCTGAGGTGAGAAGGCCGTCGCGATCGACAGGCCGACTCGTACAATACGGGCTCCGCTCCACACCGACCAAACCTCTCGCTCGGAGCTAACATGGCCCATGGCACACGTCAAGTCTCAAGATACAAGAAGAGGCGGCGGTGATTTCTTGTTGGTTTTCAAAAATCTCTCTCTCACACGTCACATGGACATGCACATGCACATGGCATGTGTGTGTGTGAGAGAGAGAGAGAGAGCGAGTGCGCGCCCGTCCCGTGCTAGTGTTGGTTGGAGTGGCCAGAGTGCGCGCCCAGGTTTCGTGTCGCTCTCTAATATCGTGAGAGGGTGCCTGCTAAAATTCTTTTTCGGCGGCTCCCGTGGTGTCCGCGCCAGTCCATTGATGAGAGCCTCGATCCGGTACGGCCCGCTGTGGTTCACCGTCAACGGCAGCACAGAGGTACATACTCATAATCGGCGAGACGGGCGGGGAGGAAGTAGAGCGCCGCGTGGGACAGGTGCGGCGCTGGCCGAAATTGCGCCGCGAGACCCGCTGGATCGTACAGAAAGTGGTCGGCGCCGGTGTAGATGGCGCCGTTGTCGGGCGTGTACGAAATGAGGTAAAGGTAAGGTAAGGTAAACTTCTCCACACACACGAGGTGGTGGGGCAAGGGGGGGCGACCCTCGCGTCTCCACGTCTAACGACAGGAGCCCCACGGCATTCAAAGTGCAAGGCCCAGTGCGCGTGGGTGAGCGGTGTGTGTGTGCGTGCGTGCGTGTGTGTGTGTGTGTGTGTGTGTGTGTGTGTGTGTGTGTGTGTGTGTGTGTGTGTGTGTGTGTGTGTGTGTGTGTGTGTGTGTGTGTGTGTGTGTGTGTGTGTGTGTGTGTGTGTGTGTGTGTGTGTGTGTGTGTGTGTGTGTGTGTGTGTCGTCGAGGCTTCCCGACAGGGCAGGGAACCCCCAGCGCGCAGGCGGGGCCCACGGTAGCCTCGTGCAGTACGCGATACCGAGAGCTGGGGGGTGAGGGGCGCCCACGCCAAGGGGGACAAGCGACGGGGGGGGGAGAGTAGTGTCTTTCGCAGGTAAAACGCAATTTTTTTTTTTGAGGGCCAGTGAGGGCGAGCCCATCGCTGTCACAGCTGTGGCAGCCGCACAGTAGGCTGTCGGGCCTGTCCCCCCTTGCCATCGCTGATCGCTCTCCGCACTCCGGTGGGCAGCGGGGCCAGGCCCAGGGCAGGCGGCGCGAGGCGCGCGCGGGACCATCTGTGGCGAGGTGGGTCGCGTCCTCCGACTTCCGTCAACTCACGGTCCACACCCTTAAACAACTCGCCGCTCATCTCCACCTTAACCTCTCGACTGTGCTCGGTATGGGGAACGGACAACGCTGAGAGCCGCAGCCTCCTCGCGGCGACCCGCCCCAACCCCAACCCGCCGCCCCCCGCCACGCGCCACCGGGCCCGGGTCGACAAGCCCCGGGCCTAGCCACCGCAGTTGTCAACGCCCAGCACGACGGGGGGCGCTAGCACGAGCACCCGAACCAAGCTCCCCCGGGCGGCGGCCTCGCCTCGCCCACACGGCGGACGTGGCTCGTCCACGACTGCGCCTCCTCGCCTACACGCCGAGCCAGAGGGACGTGTCGCGGACGTGTCCTGCAGCAGCCCGTCCTCGACTCCGCCCCTCGCCGCCGCCCGCCAGCTCCATCACCGTCCGCAGCGTCGACAGCGAGTGCTCCTAAGCAGTCCCACAAAGCAGCCGTGAGCTCCTGATAGCCCACCCATGACGCTCAGAGGGAGTAGTACCGTAGCGGCGGACGCGGGCGAGACACAGCCGAGCACAGCCAGCTGGCAGGAGTCGCCTGCAGGGGAGAGGCCGCCGAGATGTGGCCGAGAGAGGATGAGGTCGCAGCGAAGGCGGCACACGAGTTGCCGAACGAGTCGGCGAGCAGCCTGCGCGACCATGATGGACCGTGATGGCAGTCCCCGCAGGAGGAGGGAGTTGTGAATGGCGGGTGCGTGGCAGGAGGGGGCGAGGTGGCGAGAGCAGCTCCGCTCTCTGCCACACCCATCTCAGCTACCACCTCTCAGCCACCACCTCTCAGCCACCACCTCTCAGCCACCACCTCTCCGCCACCACCTCTCCGCTACGACTGACTGCTCTCCTGGTGAGCAGCGCGTCGCGAAACGGCATGCGCGCCGCGCGGCCGCTCCGCGCTCGCTCGGCGAAGGCGCGCACGCAATTCTTGAGCGCGTGCAGCGACGTGTTGATCTCCGCGCCTTCCCGCTGCCGCTCCTGCGCAACGGGGTGCAGCAACAACGTCAGAAAGTGGAGCCGGGACCGTGCAGAGTGTTCAGAGCGCCGCGTGGATACAAGGGCTACGTGCACAGCGAAGACGGTGCTTTTGTGTGGATGCAGCTGAGCGACGGAGCACACACCAAAGCCCGCCCCACCATCTAAGGCTGCCGCTCCCTGCAGTGCGCCGCCGAGTCGGCAGCCCACTCCGAGCCGGCGCAGTCGACGAGGGTGAGGCGCCCCGCCGCAGGTCCCGCCGCAGGAGGCCTCCCTCCCCCGCCGAACCGCACCGCCTCCGTCGCCCCCGGAGGGGGAGGAGGGCCTGTTCACAGCTGCGGGTGTGAGAGGGTCTCCGGGCAGCGGCACGCCAGCGGGAGGGCGGGGTGGGGGGGACCGCGGGGCGGGGAGGAGCCGTCGGCGGCAGGCGGTGGCGGGACGTCGATCGAGAGGACCTGCTCGCAGCTGCGGGCGTGAGGAGAGGCCGGGCACGGGCGGGGCTGTGGGCACGCTCGAGACGCGCCATGTGCGAGCGAGACGACGTCGCGTTTGCGCCGGTCGCCTGCGGTCAAAACAGTCCGGCCAAACCAGTCCGCCTCTGGGGCATCTCACGTTGACCCGCTGCCGGGGCGGGTCGGAGGGCCTTCGTGGCTCGCGCGGCGCTGGCGGCGGCGAGAAGCTCCTCGAGCTGCGCCCCGCTCCAGACCTGCCGCAGCGTCGCCCCCTTCAGCTCGATGCCGCCCTCCGCCGCAGCCAGCGGCTGGCAGGGCGAGCCCGAGAGGAGGTCGACGCAGCGCCGGCCAAGCACCTGCGGGACATCTCGGGCGATCTCGGGCAATCTCTTGCCCCCACCGCCCGCCCCAACGCCTCGCACCTCCACCGCCGAGACGCGGAGTGGCGCTGCGGAGCCGCGCGCGCCGTGGCGCGCCCGGGCGGCGAGGAGGGGGGAGGCGAGAGAGAAGACCTGGATGATTGAGGCAGTGATGGCTTGAGGGGCGAGGCGAGGGGCGAGGCGAGGGGCGAGGAAGGGGGCGAGGCGAGGGGCGAGGCGAGGGGCGAGGAGGGGGGCGAGGAGGGGGGCTAGGAGGGGGGCGAGGAGGGTGAGAGAAGGCGGGCGAGGGCGAGGGGTGCCGCCTGCTCGATGGTGTAGGTCTTGCCGGAGCCGGTCTGGCCGTAAGTCAGCAGAGTCGCCTGCCCGCCGCACAACAGGACATGTCCCGGACATGTCCCGGACATGTCCCGGAGAGGCGCGCGCGTGCGTGAGCAGAGCCACCTGCCCGCCGCTCAGCGCGTGCTCGACGAGCGGGTGCGCCGCCAGCCGGTAGACCTGCGAGACATGCCCGGGACATGTCCGGGACATGTCCTGGAAGTGTCGTGCGCCCCTCGCCCGTCGGTAGCACCTCTTCGCCTGCCGCCCCCTCGCCCAAGGCACCGCCCGACGGAGACATGGCCGTGTGGCGGAGGTACATCCGCACCTGCGGCACATGTGTCGGACATGTCGTGGACGTGGCGTGGACGTGTGCAGCCGCGAGAGGTGCATCCGCACCTGCTCACGCGAGGGAGGCATGAGCAGGCGTGAGGAGGCGTGAGCAGGAGCCCTCGCCAAGGCTAGGGGAGGCGGGGCGCTGTCTGCGCCAGGTCGGGCCTCAAGAGGGAGATATGGGGAGATATGGGGAGATGTCACCAGGTCGGGCTTCATGAGGCACGCGTGCGCCACGACACGCCCCCCTCCCCCTCCCCCTCCCTCAACGCTCAGGGCGTCGAAGTCGCCCTTTGCAGCCTCGCTCGGCAGCAGCGGCCGCTTGCGAACGTACGCAGACACGCCGCGAACGCCCCCGCGCGGGGCCGCCGCCTCAGCCGCCTCATCCTCCGCCTCTGCCGCCGCGCCGCCCGCCGCGCCGCCCGCCGCCCCCTCCCTGTGAGCCTCGATGGCGGCTTTGAAGCTCTGCGCGTTGAGCAGCCGGCAGGTCCGCTTGTCCACCATCGAAGCGCCCATAGGGAGGCTCTGCGGCGGGGGTAGGGGCGGGGGCGCAGCCGCCGCCCTCGCTCCTCCCGCCCTCGCCGACGCCGCCTCGCCGCCCATTGCTGCTGCAGCTGCAGGGGGGGCTGCGGGGGAAGCGCACGGGGGCGCTCCGGCTGGCGCGGCCTGCACGGCGTGGGTGGCCTGGGATCGCTGGTTGAGGCGGTGCCTACAGTGCGAGCGACCGCCTGCAGCCTCCTGCAGCCGCGGTGCGGCCGAGAGGCGGCCGCAGCGTGCGGTGCCGAGTCCGCGGCAGGAGAGGAGGACGGGCGGGCAGCGCCGCGGAGATGGCTGCCGCCGAGGCAAGGAGGGACTCCTCGTAGCGCGCCAGCGCGTCGAAGGCGGCCGACGCCGCGTCGGCCGAAGCAGCGCTCGCGTCGAGGCTGGGGCCGTCGTCGAGGGCGTCTCCGAGACCGCTGGCGCGTTCGGGCGATGGCGGGCTGCGCGGCGGCGGAGGAGCCTCGCTGCGGGCGTGCAGGCCGAGGGAGGCGGCCGGAGCGGCGGCGACGCCTCCGGGCGGGGGTGGCGACGGCCGCATGTACTTGTCCCAAGATGTCACGGAGGAGGCGGCCTCCGGCGAGAGCGGCGCCGCCGCGTCGTCGGCGTCAAAGGCGTACGACGAGCCGAAGCTAGGGTGGTCGAGAAAGGAGAGGTCGATTGACATGCCTGACCGTTTTGCGCTCAAGCGAGGCGCCCGAAAGGGTTGGGCTCGGAGGGTTGGGCTAGGAGGGTTGGGCTAGGAGGGTTGGGCTAGGAGGGTTGGGCTAGGAGGGTTGGGCTAGGAGGGTTGGGCTAGGAGGGTTGGGCTAGGAGGGTTGGGCTAGGAGGGTTGGGGTAAGGGTTTTTTCAGGGTTTTCAAGGGAGCATTTTGTCAGCCAGTCGGCTGGAGAGCAATCGAGAGCAAGCGGCTTGAAGGCAAGAAATCCCGCGGAATCCAGCAAAAAAAATGAACACGAAGGCTCAAGAACCTCGCGCTTCATGAGTGGGGATGACGTATTCGTGGAGCTGTTCACACTTCGCGCTGTGAAAAGAGCTTGGCCGCCCGCGCGGTGTTGCTGCTGGCGGCCCGCTCGCTACGAGCCCTCCTCTGTCTCGCAGTTGCAACATGTACATGTACGGTGTCGGATGCACAGGTGTGGTGCTGCTTCCACAAGCCGGCCTTCACGTAAACGCACAACCCCGGCCTTCACAGGAAGCGTCTCGGATCAATGGCCGCGCTCTCGACGGCTCCACTCCGGACGCTTAGGCAGCTACCGAGAGCTTCCTTCCAGCAGCGCAAGGCGCGAGGCACAGTGCCTCACAGCTGGCACTGGCCGCACACGTAGGACTTTAGTGCGGCGGCCTGCTTAATGGTCATGCCGACGCAAGCCGGGTGGAACCAGTCGTCGCACCCGTCGCACGCGATCATGACGGAGCCCACATCCGAGCGGCCGTGCCGGCAATTGTCGACGCAATGCCTATAGCGAACGATCGTGTGGTTGGACCAGACGTGATCATGGAACTCGCGTCGCCACCCGAAAAGACAACTGCTTGGCGGCCGCAGCCTCCGCACCGTCGGACGGACGCGAAAGGCGCGTGAGCGGGACGAGGTGGTGCCCCGTCATGCCCACGAAGGTGAAGCAACCGTCGCGAATGGCCCAGCGGGACGGGCGCCTCGACGAGCCCCCGGCAGTGCAAGCGGCGTGGTCGGCACGCACCTGCACGTTGTTGTACTCGCCACCTTGGCGTACTCGCACCACGAGCACCTCGCCCGGCTTGTGGCACTCGGGGCAGTTGTAGCGCGCGGTAGCCGGATCCGACTGCGTCGGCTTGCGCGCAGCCCGCGGCTCGCGCCCGGCCGCCAGCCGGTCCGCCTCGGACATCGGCGCCTTGCGCGGCTCGCGCCCGGCCGCCAGCCGGTCCGCCTCGGACATCGGCGCCTTGCGCGGCTCGCGCCCGGCCGCCAGCCGGTCCGCCTCGGACATCGGCGCCTTGCGCGGCTCGCGCCCGGCCGCCAGCCGGTCCGCCTCGGACATCCTCCCCTGCGCGACGGTCCGGTGCTTCTTTCCCCACCGCGCCGCCTCGTTAAGCAGCAGCGGGCAGAGCGAGCGGAGAGCGGAGAGCGTCGCGGTGTCGGGCGGAGTGACGTCGGGCGTGTAGAGGAGGCCCGACAGCTGCGAGGCCGAGACGTACGTCAGCTCGCCCGCTTGCACGAGGAGCGACTCCTCCGCCTCGGCTGGGTCCCAGCCGTCTGGGGCGACGACGACAGGCCAGCAGAAGTACGTCGTTGAGAGCATCTCGGCCTGTGCGACAATACGATACGTGACAAATCACGTTGATTGGGGTTGAGGCTCGGGATGGCGAGCGCCGTCTCGGCCGAGAGGACGAGCTCGCAAACGGCGCCAGAGCGCTGGAGCGCGCTGACGAGCGAGAGCAGCTCGTACGGCCCGACGTCCTCGGGCACGACTAGCACGTCGGTGCGGGCGAGGCCGAGGCGGCGGAGGTGCGGCTCCAGCGAGCCGACGATCACCTACTAGTCGGAGAGACGTGTCGAGACGTGTCTCGGAAGTGTCTCGGAAGTGTCTCGGAAGTGTCTCGGAATCGCACCTGCGAGCCGTAAGGCAGCGACTTCCGCAGATGCGCCGCCCGCCGCTCGTCGAGCTGATGCGGGCACCAGACCGTGAGCGACCTCCCGGCGAGCGCGGCGGTGGCCTCGGCCGCGCTGCGCTCAAAGCGCGCGCGCACATGCCCGCCCCTGCCGCCAAAGACGGGCGAGAAGGAGCCGAACGCGAGGAACTCGTGGGCGAGCTTGAGCATCTCCTGCTTCTCGCCCTTGGCAGCGCTCGACTCGAGCTGCGCGAGGAACGTCGGCGCCTTCTTCTTGGCCGCGTCGGTGGCCGCGAGGGCTGGGTTCAGCGGCGCAGCGAGCAGGTGGAGCAGCAGGCGCGTGCCGTCGAGCGCGCCGAGGCCGAGAGCCATGCCGACGGCGGCGGCGGCGGCGTCGGCGTACTCCTTGATGTGCGCGACCGAGATGACGCCGCTCTTGTCGAACACGCGCTTCAGCAGCCAGCCGACGTGGCCGAGGTTGCCGACGATGAGCTGCTCGCAGCCGAGGTTCATGAGCGGCGCGTCGCCCGGCTTGGCGGCGTCGAGGTGGAGCACGCTGGTCGTGCCAGCCTTGTCCTGCGACGGGGCGAGGCGCGGAGTGAGCGCATGGAGAGGGCCGGCGCGGGTCTTGGGATCAGCTCACGGGCGACGCGTGTCGGGTGGGAGATGGCAGGGTGGGGTGTGCGCGCACCGTCCGCCCCTGCTTGGAGAAGGGGACGAGCAGCCCCATGCCCCGCAGGGAGAGGCCGCGGTTGCGCAGCCCGCTCGCGATCAGGCGGTTGAGGTGCGGCGTAGTGATGCTGTCGTACCGCTCGAGGTCGCAGTCGCGGCAGAGCGGTAGGAAGGCTTCTCCCGTGCACGTCATCACCTGCGCGCAGACCTTGCGCTGGTTCCACGCGGTGAGCACGACCGCCTGCCTCGGCGCAGCGGTGGAGAGCGTCTCGAGCAGGCCGGTGACGAGCGCGGCGAAGCAGCCGACCGACGAGTTGACGCGCTTGTCCGCCGCCGGCTCGCCGACGGCCGGCAGGAGAATCGAGAGCGCATCGAAGCTGCCAAGTTTGCGCACCTTGTCCAGGTAGAGGCCCATGCCCGATGAGAAGATGCCGCCAGAGAGGCCGTCGGCGAGGGAGGCGAGCACCGATGCGCACTCGAGTGGGTCCTGCCGGTCGCCTTCCCCGCACGCGCAGCGGCCGACGAAGCTAACGGAAAGGACGCCGAGCTCGGGGTCGCAGTCCGTCGGCGTAAACAGGACGATGGAGTGGTGGTGATCCGAGGCGTCGCCACTCTCGGCGAGCTGCAGCAGGCCGCCCGGCTGGTTGGGCGAGTGCATGTCGACGAGCTGCTCGACGGAGAAGCGGCCTCCCGCGACCACCTTCTCCAGCTGTTTCTCGGAGATTAGGAGGTAGCCCTCATATCGTAGGAGTTCGAGCGTCGAGCGCACGTTGGTGCCTGCCGGCGGCGGCGGCGGCGGAGGAGAAGGCGCCGTCGGCAGAGGCGCCACAGATATGGCGCCAGTCGCAGCCGGCGGCGTGAAGCTCGCGGTGAGGTTGAGCGGCCGCAAAGCCCGTTGCGGGCTTGGGGATGCGGCCTTGCTCAGCGATGGCTGCTCAGGCGTCTGCTGCTGCTCGTTCTCCGACGCCGGCGCCCCCGCCAGCGACGAGCAGCACTCGTGCGGACAGCTCTTGAGCTTCTTGCGCCCACGTTTGGAAGCCGGCAAGCAAGAGCCGGCCATCTCGTCGAACATGGGATTCGGCATGAGATTGACACTGCGAGTCGGAATGAGCCAACGTGGCAGTCCAGCCTGCTGTGGACTGTGCCAAACGCAGCCAAATTCTTTTTATTCTAGCACGCGCCAGTTCGCACCTGAGCCTGTGTGCTGTGAGAGAGAGTTCTTTTATTTTTCTTTTTATTTGAAGAGAGAAAAAGGATGAGGCGGGCGAGAGCGCTTTCTTTGTTCTCCCCTCGAAGGGAAGATTTTACCTGCCCGGAAAAGAATTCTTAGAAGCGAAGCCTGAAAAGAATTCACGCTCAATTCTTTTTGTAACGATGGTCGTCAGAGTTGGTCCTTGGAAGACCGACTGCTCGCGCGCGGTGCCACCCCCGCGGCGCTACCCTTGGCGCGGCCGAGCTCGGCGATCGCGCTCTTAGGTTTTTCTACTAAAAAGTGGAAGCAACTTGCTTCCACTTTGACACGTCACTTGTATTCTCAAAGATTTTCAACACCAATCTCGGAGAGAGAGATTTTCAATGCCTCGATAGAAAAATGTAGTTGGACCCTCGGAGAGCGGCAAAAGCTTACGCGGCAGTTTGGTTGTACTGCACGTCGCGCTGGATACACTCCGTATGCTCCTGGCTGCCTTCCTCGCGATGCTCGGCCGTGGCTCCATCTCCTCGTCGGCCCTAGACGCGGGCTCGACCGACGATCACACTCTCCGCGCGCAAGCCTCTCGCAGCAACCAAATGCAAGCGATGGGCGAGAGCGTTGAGCTGCGGCCGCCAGCAGGGTCGGCGGCGGCGGCACCGATGCTGACCATCGACATGATGAACTGGACTCGGCCCGCTTCCTTCCGCTCTACCGACAAGCTCGTGGTGCTGCAGCCTGACCCACCGACGTCAGTCCAGGGCATCACAGGGTCACGTGCGAGCGAAGTTCCGCGTGTGAGCCTGGGCCGGAAGCTCACATGGTGGCAGTACGACCAGACGTCGTGGTCGGCGCGAGAATGGATGCCGTTTGCGCTGCAGCGACTGTCGGTGCAGCTCTGGGTGGCGCTCGCGGACGAGGCACAGCGCGCCATTGGTGCGGCGTCACGCGGCCGCGAGGGACCGCGGGGGAATGCTAGTGGGATGGGGGGCTCTGAGGGGAAGGGAGCGGGGGGCGCCCAGTAGGGCGCCGGCACCCCAGCGTAGAGGGCGTCGTGTAGCCCTCCTTTTGGTATAACTAACAAGGGGGCGTATAAGCTCTGTCCTTCTCCCAGTCTAGTCGTGATCGAGACTGAGGTGCCGAACTGAGAGGCACTACTGGAGGCTACCTCCGGCCACCGCTCGACTACCAAGGCACATGGCCGGTCCTGTGGCTTGCCTGGACTCGCTCAGAAGCCTCAATTCGCGCACACCTTTGCTCTCTGGCTCCCGCGAGTGCGTTCAGGCCACACAAGCAGGCGACGCCGAGCACCCGCAACGCATCTCGCCTGGGCGCCACCTATCGACCCGACTGATTGGCGCAGCATCAAAGCCGACCCCATGACGGTCCTTCAGCCCCACGAGATAGGCAGTTGCGCCCTGATCTCGGTCCAAGACGGCCAACGCCGTGTCCGGCACCTGCTGGCTGCTTCACGGGGATGCCCCCCCCGGACACATGCTGCAGCCCCGAGTGGATGTATTGGTCGTTTGTGGGTCCCACAAGACTACTCTAGTAGGGGCCAGGCGCTTGAGCGTCGGCGGTACACCTGTGCAGATGTTGCACGGGTTAAATGGCTCCTCGTACAGGGTAGGAGGCAGGTGGTGGGTTTGAGTGTCGTGAGTGCTTGCAGCCGCGAGTGTAGCACCGTTTGTGACTCCCATGGATGAAGTTGGGTGGGGCACGGTGCTGGGGGGCGGTCCGGTGCGCCACAACAGCCTCCCCAGCTGACCCCCATCCAGTTCGGCACCTCTCCATCCTGACCGTGGAACCCCAACTTCAAGAGAACTTCAAGTTTTTGTTTTGTCAACTTCAACCGGTATATCTCGGGCGGACTGGCACCTCAGGAGCTCATCCTGGGCGGTTTTGGGGAGTCTTGGGAGTGTACTTGAAGGTGGTAAAAAGAGTTTTGCACCGCACAGCTTAACCGGCGGGCGTGCTGAGCAGCGTGAAAACCGAAGGACAGAGGTTATCGCGACTGGCGGCCCAAGGAGCTAGGTGCCCGCCGCCGCCCGCCCGACGAGCACCATGTTTCACCTGCTCGTGCTAGCTCAGTCGCTGCAGCGCCACATTGAGACACGATCAACGGGTGGGCGTCCACGCCCGGAGAGCGTCGCGGCCATCCACGTGCACGAAAAGCAAGCAAGCAGGCCGATTTTCCCGGTCCTGCACGTTCATGTCAGCGGCTCCGCTGGAACCACATTCTGCAGCCTCGGTCGCCGGCAGCACAGCGTGTCTGGCCGCGCCGCAGGCCGCGCCTTTGCGTGCAATCTTCCCTGCAAGGGAAACCTCGACTGGCGGGCAATTGCGCTGCCGCCGTGGAGCTCCAGGCCCTGCGGGAGAAGCCTCGTCGGCTCATGCGAGGCTCTTGAGGCCACAATGGCGCAAAGGGGTTTCCACGTTCTCGGAGCAATGGAGACTGTCTTGCCAGAGGCCAATCGATCACACTCGAGCCAGGCTTTGGCCAACGCGATTACCCCCGCCGACTTGGCCCACGGCTCACTCCACAAGGCCGCGTGGTGTCGCGACTACAAGCAAACGAATGGGATGCTGGTGGTGACGCGTGGAAGCACCTCGCCGTATGACATGATTTATCCTCTCAGCGGCTGGCAGGTGACACTCCACCTCGTTGCATCCGTGCTGCTGCGCTGCCCACCGCTAAACTGACCCCGGTCCCTCCGGCCCCAACCCTTTTGCGCAGCCGCGGGCGACGTTGTGCCTCAACATTCGCTACACCTTCCTGATGCACGACCCGATTAAGCGCATTGCCTCCGAGCTCGCCATCAAGTGCTACCATCCCGTCAGCAAGACTGACACCTGTGTCCCGCACAACACGACCGAGCTAGAGCTGGGAATCAGCGACGCTGGCAGCTTGGCGTGCGCGCGCCGGCTGGTTGATTTTGTCTATGCGCACGACCTCATCCTCGACCCTACCGACGGGCGCTACTTGATGGGCACACCCGCGCTGAGCGAGTACAACATCCGCATGCTGCTCGGGCCGCGCGTCTTCCTCGCCCGGCTCGGCGAGTCCCCCCACACCTCTGTGGTTCCACATAATCCTCGATCCATATCCATATCCTGAAGACCGAAGCTCTCCCGCCGGAGTACGGTGTGCCTCGTCCGCGATCCATGCAGCCATGCCCGTAGGTGAGGTGAATGAGGCGCACTTTGCAGCCGCCGCGGAGATGGTTGAGGCGTTCGTCTTTGCTGCTCCGGTGGCGAACCTGAGCCAGGCCAGCCCTCTGCTGGAGGCCAAGCTTGGGTGGCATGTACCCGCAATGCCTAGCTCCAATCGACACTCAAACGGGCGAGTGGGACAGCTTGCGGACATGATACGCGCAACGCTCGGCCCGACGCTGCGTGCCATGAATGCGTGGGACCTCAAGCTGTACGATACCGTGAGGGGTCGGTTTGAGGCGGACATGCGTCGATTGGGTGCCACAAATACGCCGGGGGCGCCGGTGCCATAGAGATGGGTAGACACCACACTCGGGGTTGCAACCGCTCACACTAAGCTTGTACCGTTGTACGTCTTTTTAGCTTACCCAAAAAAGTGTCGCGGGACTCGCGATCCGCATCGAGAGTAATACTAATAGATTATCAAATGCGGGGACGACCCCCCGGCACATGCAGCGCACGTGTGAGAGAGCGAGCACGCCGCCGCCGAGTTCGAACTGCTACATGATGAGCCGCGCAAGAACCGAGATATGAGAGCTGTACACGCGCCGACACACTTACCGGGGGAATGAACTGCGCCAGTGTGCGGAGCCGCGATGCGGACTCGCCAACAGATGTAGTGATCCTCGCCTCCTAAGCGCGAAAGCCGCGGCCCGCAGCGCGACAAAACGCGGATTCGCCGCGCACACTCGACGGCAGTGCAGCGGCGGGACACTCGCCCGCGCCGCCGCCGCCGGCCTCAGCCTCAGTGCGGGTTCTTGGGGTCGGTGAAGTGGAACTTCTTCGCGCCGACCATGCCCATGACGATGTCGAAGACGCCAAACTGGCCGGCAGTCAGAGTGCCTACGTGGAGGTGGAGGGGCGGTGGAGGGACCGCGTCCTAACAGGCGCCCGGCCGGCGGCGGCCCAATGTGCCGATCATGACGCAGCGCGCGAAGAGGCCGGTGGTGGCGAGGGCGACGAAGCCCTCCTCGGCGGCGATGTTGGTGAGGCGCGACATCAGCCCTCCCGAGCCGCCCGCGCCCGCCTTGTTGACTTTGGAGAGCAGCGAGTCGGCCGGGTGCGAGATGATGGCGGCGGCCACGCCGGCGATGACGCCCGAGCCGAGCGAGACGCAGAGGTTTCCGCCCTTGCTCATCTTCGAGGGCTCGCTGCCCATGCCCGCGTAGATGGACTCGGCCGCCTTGCCCTGCACCGCGAACTTGGCCATCGTGTACGGGATCTGCCTGTTCACGGCCAGAGGTGTGAAGAGACGCTGTTCACACCCATCGTGACCATCGTGTGCGGGATGCTGCTTGAAGAGGATCGGGAGGAAGCCCGCGTAGAAGCCTCCGATGACGCCGTTCTCGGAGACGAGGCGCGAGGCGCAGCCAGCCATGCCGGAGGCGTAGGTCGGGTCGGAGACGAGGCGGATGCGGCAGGCCTGGGCAGGGGTGGGGTGGGGACGGGGGGGGGCTGGGGGCGGACCACGCCGCAAGCCTGCAGAGTCCAGGCTCTGGGGCCCAAGCAGGCAGCAGGGCGAGGAAGCGGGCGGCAGGTAGATAGCAAGCGGGTCGGGTCGGGCGAGGCTTGCGGAGAGGTTTGCGGAGAGGTCTGGGGAGAGGCTTGGGGGAGAGGGCGGGGAGGGGGCGGGCTGGGTGGGTCGGCGGGGACCTCGAAGGGGCACAGGAAGATGTCGGCGATGAACTCTGCCCCGGCAGCGGCGGCGAGGTAGATGGAGTTGCGGTTGTCCCAGGCAGACTGCTCGCCGAGCGTCTTGGTGAGCTGGACCTTGAAGAACTCGACGCCGCCGAACTTGAACCAGCCCTGCGGAGGGTTTGGGGTGGGGGGTGAGGGCGGGCGTGGGGAGTAGGGTGGGGTGGGGTGGGGTGGCGGCGCGTAGGGCGCTGTGTTGCGGCGGCGGTGGGAGGGGGATTGGGAGAGGGAGGGGGAGGGGGGAGGGGACGGGTCGGGAGGGGGGCTTGGCGAGCGCGGGAAGGGGGGCGGGGGGGTTGGCCGTGAGGGCAGGCTAGGCGAGAGCCGCCGCAGAGGGGAGAGAGAGAGGGGCTGGAGGTGTCGCTGCAAGAGCAAAGAGGGGAGGCGATCGGCGCCTGGATGAAATAGCCCTGCGCCGTCGGCATGAGGCCGGTGAGGAGCGCGCCGGCGCCCTCGGCCGCGGCGATCTGGCGGAAGCCGCCGATGAAGCCCTGGTTGTACGTCGCCGGGTCGAGCTGGATGCGAGTCTTGACGACGTCAACGGGCGTCATCGCGCCGTGGGTGAGGCTGCAGCAGATGCCGCCGGCGAGGGCGCCTGCGGCGAGGGCGGAGGGAGGCTCGGAGGCGGAGACGCGACATCGCACCCGCGCCAACCGGGGGGGAGGAGCCGGCGGTGTGGGCGCAAGAGAGCTGCCGCGCCTTGCAGGAAGTACGTGAGGCCAAAGGGGCCCTGGCCCATGATCTCGCCCTCCGCCGGCGAGGCCGCAACCATCAGCTGCTTGGCCGGCACGGCGGCGTCGGCGCGGCGGGTAGCGGCGGACTCCTTCGCCTAGGGTTGGCAGGGGTCCCACATCGGCCGGCATTGGCAGTTTCGCCTTTGTTCACGAGGCTGGCGCGGGCTGCCCGTGAGAAGGCGCCGAAGCCGGAGAGATAGGAAGTCGAGGCGGCGGAGAGACCGAGGACCATGGTTTAGGTTGACTGCTGCGGCGGGAGAGAGAGGTGTGGTGAGCTGTGGCCGCGGGCACGGGCACGCCGGCTTCAGGCGCACCTTTGATGCTGAGCCAGCGATTTTTTCTTGTTTCAGAAAACGTCCGGCTCCACACTTCTTTAGGAAGAAAGCGTTAGAAAAAGAAAAAACCCCGCCCCGCGGCGCACGCAGGGCGTCCAGCCAAGGGCAACTTTAATAGGCCAGGAGGAACCGGGGCCGGCTCTCGTCTCATGAGCCAGGCAGACAGCTCGGCGTCGCCGCCGGCGACGGCGGGGGAGGGCGCGGGGCCGTCGAAACGGGAGTCGGAAGTGGAGGACCTGGCGAGGAAGTGGCTGTGCGCGGCGGAGACGGAGGCAGTCGAGGACGATCTCAAGAAACTGGTCGAGGAGACCAAGATGCCGCTCGAGAAGCTGGCGGTGCGTCCGCGCCCCGCGCCCCGCGCCCCGCGCCCGCAGCGCTTGCCCGTGCGGGGGCGTCCCGAGGCTTGCGCGCGCTCCACCCCGCCGCCGCGCTCTCAGGGCAAGGAGGGGCTGCGGATGGGGCCGTATCAGCTGGTGCTGTGGCAGCCGCGCTACGTGTTTGCCGACTTGGACGGGCTCCATTACCAGAAGCTCTCCACGCAGAATCGTCCAATGGGGAAGCCGAAGAAGATCACATTTGCATCCATCCTGGTGTGCCGGACAGTAGCGACTAGCCCGCCCGCCCTGGCGCAGCGAGACCGCGCGCTCGGGAGCCCGGCCCCGCGACCGCCCCTCTTGAGAGCCGCGCGCCGCGCGCCGGCCCGCAGGAGGTGACCGAGCTCGAGCAGGGCGAGATCGTCATCCGGTGCCGCAGCCGCGACTACACCTTCAAGGCGCGCGGCGGCGCCCCGCTCCTCCTCCGCCCGCGCCCGCCCGCCCAGGGTCCCGGAGGCTCCCGCTGTAGGCGCCCGACGCGAGCAAGGCGTCCGTGATGGTGCACAACTTGAGGCAGCTCATCCTTCGCCATGCGGAGGCGAGTGGCGAGACGGGAGAGCAAGAGGGGGCCGACTCGTCGTGAAGTGAGCACAGCACAACTGCCTCCCCCCTCCCCCTCCCCCACCGAACCACCACCCGCGCCATCGCGCGTGCGTGCCTCACTCGGCCGCCGCACTGGCCCGCTATTCCGCACTTCTGCTCGCCCGCCGGAGCGCGCCCCTATCCCCCGGCGGTGCTCGAGCGCCCTGCGCGGTGTCCGCTCTCCACCATCCTCCTCCTCTGAGCTCTTGTCAGTTGTCTGTGCGTGACACGAAACGGGAAAAAACGCAAATCAAAAAAAGTTGGGCATTGGCCATTGCCGACAAAGCGGAAAGGCGCGTGTTAGCAGGATGAGGAAAGACATTTCCGTAAAATGCGTAAAGTAGACCGAGCCGATTTAGGCGGGACCCGCGTGCGACTACGAGCGTGGGCGTGTCGCCTGTCGCGCCGCGACACTCGAGAGGGACGGAGGCCGCGGAGGCAGGGGCGGGAGGGCCTCAGTACTACGAGAGCTGCTGCGTCCAGTCGTACGGCTCGAACGCCTGCGGGAAGGTTCCGGGAAGGTTCCGAGGCGGCTCCGAGGCGGCTCCGAGAGGACCGCGACGCGAGATCGCGTCTCTAGGAGTGTGCGGGGAGTGTGCAATGCGTGTCTGGCGCCTTTCCGAAGTCGACGACGCGAGATCGCATCTCCTCGAACGGCAAGGGCGGCCGCCGCTTGAGAGGGATGCCGGCGCCGTCGAACTCGATCAGGCCCTCGACCTGCGAAGGAGGGTCTCCGAGCGGGTGAGAGACGCCTCGGGCAAGGCTCGTCCAGACGTGGTGAGCGCCAAGGACCGTCTCGCGCCCGAAGTCCGTGTTCCACTCCGCCTCGTCTTCGACCACGTGGGCGTAGCCCGCCTGCCGGTCCAGCGGCAGTGCCGGTCCAGCGGCAGTGAGTCACGTCGCGGCTCGGCAACCACTCGGGCGTGTGGCCGGGCCACCACTCTGGCGGCGCGCGGCACGCCTGCAGCGCGAACGAGACGGCGAAGTACGAGAAGCCCGCCGGGACCGTCCCTACGCAATGAGACGCTCCTGGTGGACTCATACTCAGTTGAGCGAACCAGGAGCCGGGGCTGGGGCGGCGCCCCGCACACAGCCGCCCGTGTCGTAGATCTTCTTGTGCTGCGACCACTCCTCGTCGCACTCGAGGATCGCCTGCAGCAGAGGGAGGCGTGAACCCCGCCCACCCCCCCCCTGCAGCAGGGAGGCGTGACCCCCCCCCTCTCCTCCCCTCTCCTCCCCCCTCTCCTCCCCCCTCTCCTCCCCCCTCTCCTCGCCCCGCTCGACCTCGGCGCCTTTTTGAAGTAGCCTGGCGCGGCGGCCGCGTCGCGCGCCGGCAGAGGGATGCACTCGATCGCCATCGTGTCTCGCGAGGGCAGCCCGGCGCTGCCGAGGCGCAAGTGCTGCTCGAGAAAGACCTGTTCGTGATCCGTCCGGTTCAGACGCCCAACCACGCACAGTCGCCGAGCTGCTCGAGCGACACCAGCTGCGCCCCACGCGCCGCAAACATGCGCAACAGGCACTTTTGGA